ATTACTGCTGAATATTAAATGAAGGAACAGTTGATCATGGAGTGTTTACACATTACGTGAGTAGCTATGACGTCAGAGGGAGCTACCGTAAATGAGAACTGTGTCGTAAAAGTGTTTCTAGGACTTCAAAACTAACGATTACAGCTGTTTATAAGGTATTAAATAGAAAGTCATGACAGAGATAAGGAGGAGAGAATGCTTAAGGAAATAGGCAGAGAATACCAATGTCGAAATCATCTGTGCTCTCGCGATATCGAACCCACAAGATGAGAAGGGCGGTCCCACTATCTTCACAGCGGGGGACAACGAGACGTGGATAAAAAGACAGGACGGAAGATAACTCAGTCCCTTTCCTTCGCTGCAGCCCACCCTGAAGACATCACCGGCTTTGTCTCTCCATTACCCATGCTTCTTCTTCAACCACGTTACTTAATTAAACTACCCATTTGAACCTCTTTAGAGACTCCATTAGTCTCGTTATTTAAAGCTCCTCTCCTGGGCGCGAGAACATCGAATACTCTAATAATACAATTAATTTCGTGACTATAACACGAAATGGCGTGAGACTGGGTTGAGATACGAGCATGGTTTTATATACTATCATGTTTAATCGTGTTTTATGCCGTTTGCCAAGACTTGATAAGTCGCTCGTAAAACACAGGAGGTATGGAAACTAAGAACACCATATGTGGTAAATTGTACAGCTAATATAACACAACACATTAGTTGTATTTCCTTTAACTGGTGGATTATGGATATTTAGTTGCTGATCGAAAGCTGGAACACAAACCACCAAATACAAAAAAATGATTCAGATCCAGTCGTCATGACTCCACTCCGGAGGGATTCCCCGATCATTTCTTAGAGTTTCTCATCAAGGGGGTGTCTCCTATCCCCGGTACAAACACACTGCCTGAGGAAGGTTATGTGTATTTTCTTTGTCATTAACCTTTTTCGGACCACTTATTTATTTATTTTGGTGACGATCCGACCTCCATGCTGCTACTCTGGTTCAAACTGCATCCACCAAACAATATGGTTTATCTCGACCTCCCCAAAATAACCTAAATCTGGCACGGTGTGAGATGTCTTTTTTAGCTGTTCTGGCCTCATTTCCTGCGATCTTCTTCATGCAGTCAGTCAAAATGAATGAATGAATGGGCGTTTCTTTGACTATTTATAGGCAAATATGGGCGTTACGTGAAGCCCGCAAAAGCTGCGCCGCATTTTGAGTCGATTGTGATTTATAAAGGGAAACAGGCGTAGGAAGTGCCATACGCACTTCCCTCGCCGGTACGCAATGTTTTGTGAATCGGAAAATGTTGGAACATTTCTGTACCTATTCTTTTGCTTTGTACTACGTAAGCAACCTACCCACGTGCAACCTACCCACGTGCAACCTTCCCACGTGAATCCTACGCAAGGCGTTATAAATGAGGCCCCTGACCACAGTTTGTTACATTGTTTCATTTTTCAGAAGGTTCGGGTTGCGGTCGAATAGTCCAAAAATCAGCTCCTAAGTTCTAACCCTGTCTATTCCTTGACCTCTGAGTGAAACGTCACGGGGTTAAGGGATAGTGGATAGGAGAATTCAAAAGGATTTAGGAGAAGAGACTGCGGTACTTTAGAGAATCCGACTGCACTTTCACTATCCGACGTGTTTATGATGCGCCAGCGGACGTCATAAATGTGCGTCTGCTGCTGTGGGGAAACTATGGAAACTACAGTTTTCTATACAGCGGACTACAACATGGATGTTTAATAAGAACGAGGGACTACTGTAAACTCATCTAGAGACTCTGCACCGCGCTCTGATGCTGTTGTTTTATGCTTTATGAACGGGGACAACAGAGAAACATATTCTTCATGACCAAAGTTGGAATTGAAATAAAAAAGGAAAGTGAAACTTATGCTCGTCACCCTCTCCCTCCGGTCCACATTAATACAAATGATCCCAATACGTATGATTGTATGAAAAGATCTTAAAATCAATACAAATGTATTTATTATAAACGTTAGTCCTTAACATCTATCACTGTGTATATCACCATTCAAACATCTTTTACAAGTTGAACAAACCCCACACAGCTCAGTAAAGACTGTGAAATGTTGACTTTATTTGATCATTTCAGTAAAAACTAACGTTCATATTTCTCTTTTTGATTATAATACTGATGAACGTTCAAAACAAAGCACTTTGGCAACTTACCACATACGTTTTAAAATGCTTAATAAGCACCGTAACTTTCATGATATCATTTCTCGTTCATAATCGGTTGTTTCCATGAACGGCCGACTGTTGTGTGACGGCAAATGCCGCTGCCGCAAGGCATTGTGGGGCAGCATTTTCTCCTCTCCTTTCGGTGAGGGAGGTCCAGTGGTTCCTAAGCTAAAGGAGTTTATAAAGGAAGTGTGAAACCTCCTTTCCTTTCATTTAGAGAATTCGAACGGCACTTATCATGGCTGCCACTGAGGGACTTCCGGGTCATTTCACTCCGTTAGGAAGGTTCCTAAGCTAAATGGACTATTCGACCGCAACCTCGGTTTGCGTTCACACGGGCAAAACTCAAACGGACTATAAACTTTAAACACAAGTCATGTGCACGGAAATGCTGTTCAACCATTGGTCAGACATTAAGGGGGTAAAAACGCAAATCCCGGCAATTTCTACCGGAGCCTCCGCCATGGAGCATCGGCACTTTTGGCAGGTTATTCTCATGCTGCTGTTAATCTGGAGATCAACAGACACTAGCGGCCCGCGCATATGATTATATAATCAGACAACGTCCGTTAAAAAACATTATAACACATATAATGAGAGACGTTCTGCAGTAAGGAGGGGCGTTTCACCGACGACAGGTGTTCTTAATTGTATGTAGTTGACGGAGCATTTTCACTTTACACAACACTGTTCAACACTTAATTCTGCTTCACTCTTTAACTAAACAACCGCGGATGTCTTGAAAGACTCTTTCGCTAAAAAAAAATTAAGACATCCGCGTTCTTGTGACACGTAAATACCACGCTTCCTATGTTTTGGTGCGGACTGCGTTCACACCAGCAATGAACTAGAGATGGCAAATCCGGATCCTTTTACGGACTCAGGGTCTTCTGAGTCAGTCATTGAAGAGATCCGGATCATACGAGTCATTTGAGTCATATGAGTCAGCATCACCAAGACCGTAGAAATCCTATCGGTGAAACCGAAAAGTTGTTGCATTTCACGAGTATATTAACCTCCGCTACACAGTGTATTTTGCTTTAATAAAAAATGTTGATCACAAAAAAAAGGATTATTTTGCGATTTGGCAAATCTGAGTCTGCTGTTGACTCGTGCATGAGGACGAGTCTGCTGGATCTCTGGATCTGCTGCTATATGGCTACGGCTCTGAGTCCGCACGAGTCTGCTCTGCTGTGTTTTGCACAGTGAGTCAGGATTTGCGAATCCGAGTCTGCTGTTGACTCGTGTTACTATTAAGACACACATTTTGCCCAGGTAAAGTGTGATGGGCATGTACGTTATGTTATTTTGTATATTTTTTAAATCCTCTGGAGCAGAGAGGAGCTGTGGATTATTGTTATTGATTAATGCATCAGTGTTTCTTAGGGTCAAAAACACTAAACTCACAACTTAAAATGAAAGCGTTTAGTTTATTTAATAAAAGAGCACATGTTCAATGTGAAAAGTGACAGTAGATATAGATTAGTTGCAATTTGGTGCTGTATATATATTTTAATAATTAATCAAAAAAATAAAAAGATTATAATTTTTATTTTATTTTGAAACACCTTGAATTTCAGGGGGGGCTCCGTTGGCGGGGCTCCGTTGGCGGGGCTCCGTTGGCGGGGCGCAGCGCCCCTCCAAGATAATGGTAAGGGAAACACTGTTATTATATAGTAACTCTTGGGTTTCCAATGTTGAAATTGGATCAGGGACACTTACTTCACAGGCTTTGGACTTAGAATGTACAGTTTATAAAAAGGTTTTTTAATATAACCACTGAGTTGAATGCATAAAAGGGTTAGATAATAATTGGGTTCACAGCTCACACAACGTTCAGAGCGCAATTGTCCCGTTGCAGTTAGAGAAAGATCGAGGGTCAATTACATTTTTCTGGGCTGGAAAACAAATATAAAATCGAATTATTCTCCCCTGTTGTGACAGGGACATCGACTAAATGGAAGTAATGAAATGCTTCTTATTTGGGGGGCACAAAACATAGATTTGGTCCCTAAATTAAACCGTTTTAGGCTCTGTAAGAATAGCTATTGTAGAGAAAGAAAAACACATGAATACAATAGTTACATTACATTTCATTTAGCTGACGCTTTTATCCAAAGCCACTTACAATGACCAATTACAGGGACATTCTCCCTGGAGTAACTAAGGGCTAAGTGCCTTACTCAAGGACACACTAATGGTGATGTTCCAGGCGGGATTTGAACTCACAACCTTCCGATCTTCAGCCCACCTCACTCCAAATGATGCCCTGGTCACGCCATAATCCCAGAGCAGTTCCTCTCCAACCTTAATGCTCTGCAGGGCGAGGAACACTAACACCTCTCTGGGGCCATCTGGGAAGGTCAGGGAAAACCTTTTCGCCTTCAGGTTGGGCCGCTTCCTGGAGTGATTCCAGGAAGCTTATGTTCAATGAGCTTTAGGCGACAGGGTGGCGTTGGTTGATAAGTTTCGCCCCTTGGTGCGGGTTCGAAACCAGCCTCTGGCAGTGTGAATTTAAATGTTTTAAATTATAGTGGATGTGTCAGATATTATTATATTATTATGGTCAGGGTGGACCTCATTGATAACTCATTGAGTTATCATTACCTGAATGTGAACCTGAATTCTGTGTTTTATATTTAATAATTACAAAAGAAATAAAGCTATAATAACTAACCTAAATGTAGAGACTAACACTCTTAATTCAACTAATTCAATTATTGTCTGAGAGGAGATTCTTACAGCAGAACTCTAAAGAAATTACCAGAAAACTACTTTGAAAAATGTAAAACTTTTATTTTACAAAAATGATTGAACATTTAACTATATCAAAAATGATTTACAACATTTAACTATCTAAAAAAAACTGTAAAATACACATAAAAACAGAACTACTTTGCGCTAGTCGTTTAGAGCATTAGAGCTTTCTCCTCGTTGCACCCTTCCGACTTCTCCGGACTCCGATGCGATTCGAGAGTTTGTGGGGACTCTGCTTAAGGGGCGACAACAGGACCCTGCATCTTTTCTGTTGGCACACAAAATAAAAAAACATTTTTAATGAACTTGTCACGTTGGGATTCATACATTGTGCTATTTTAACAGTTTTTAATCTCAAAGAAAATCTAAATCTTTAATGCTATAATTTACTATATTTTTTTGAATTGTGACATTTTGACTACCTTAGCCCGGCTCCTGGTCACACTTGGGGTGCTCTTCTTGTCGCTGGTGGTCGTTGCGATCTCCGTTGTCGCCTCTCCCTCCGGTGTCGCCTCCTGGCTCTCCTCATCTTCCGCTGTCTCCTCTCCGTCCGTCTCCTCTCCGTCCTTCTCGCTCTCCTGTAGGATAATAAGACAAAACGGTTATCTATCTATACACTGAAATACAAATTAGTAACTATCCATGACTCTTGTCTTTTAATTACCTCAGACTGAGGTGGGGGTCTCTCATGGTGCTTCTTCTTCCTCTTCTTCTTGGTCCCGGTCACACTCTCCTCTCCGTCCTTCTCGCTCTCCTGTAGGATAATAAGACAAAACGGTTAGCTATCTATACACTGAACTACACATTAGTAACTATACAGGACTCTTGTCTTTTAATTACCTCAGACTGAGGTGGGGGGCTCTCATGGTGCTTCTTCTTGGTCCCGGTCACACTATCCTCTCCGTCCTTCTCGCTCTCCTGTAGGATAATAAGACAAAACGGTTATCTATCTATACACTGAACTACAAATTAGTAACTATACAGGACTCTTGTCTTTTAATTACCTCAGACTGAGGTGGGGGGCTCTCATGCTTCTTCTTCCCACTCTCAACTTCCTCCTTCTGGGCCTCTTCAAAAAGCAGACGACCTTTCCTCGCCTGCGCTATTGTCAGGTCCATCGTATAGAACTTGTCGGACGTAGCTGTGTCATGGCACATTAAGCGTGCCATGCTTTTACGCTCCTGTGAGTCTTCACCGTGTCTGTCTCTGGCCTGAAGCAGACAAAAGAGCAGAATGCAAAGTTTAGGTGAGGTAAAAGTGAGCACAGTAGATCAGTTACAGTATTACATTAGTGTAATTTCACTTACAAAGGTTGCAATGGCGCTCCTCAAACTGGTGAATGTCGGTATCCCCCGTAACTGCATCTCCAACCAGGCGCGCTGAAGGTATTTGGTTAGGTTCCTGTCCTGGCTGAAGGTCGTGTTAAAAAAGACGTACTTGGACATTGGTTTCCCTTTTGCCAACTTGGTTTTGAGCTGGATGAGGTCGATGAGCCAGCCGTATTCCTTGTCGGTGAGCAGCAACTTGGCTGTGCCAAAGCTCTCGTTGGTCTTATGCTCCTCCACCTATTCCGAATCAGAATCACAATTAACTTAACACATACAAGGAATGTGCCTTGAATATACTTTGAAAAAAATAGGAGGAATCAAGTGTTTACTTTGATCAGGTAGTCATCCTTCTCGGGTCCGTGCACTGCCTGGCTGACCTGCACGTCGGTCATGTTCAGGAACACTCCAAGGCGGTGACCATAGAGTGAGGCTAGGTAGGCAGTGACGTACCCGAAAAGGTTACCCTGCGCCATAGATGTGTGCTGCTTTTCCAGTCGAGCTGCAATGACAAGGGAAATCAAATAAATGGATGAAAGAATACTTATTTGAATTGCCCTGTTAATTATAACATATGTATTATAACTTACAGAAGAGTTTCGGGATGGCCACCAGTGCCAATCGGCGGCACTCGTGGAGCTCTTTAATGGTGTGCATGATGGCATCCTTTTGTCCTTTCACCCTCATTTGGTGCAGGACCACAGGGCGCTTCCAGGCCATGATTGAGACAGTGATCTCCCTCTTGATCAACTTCAGTTGCGTCTTGCCGAGGCGCGAGGTACTAGGTGGGGTCTCTTCCATAAAAACTATAAACTGTCGAACGTTTTTGAGATAGTGCAATGTCGTTGACAGAGTCATTTTATTGTTCCTCAGAGACTTCACCCATCTACAAAACAAAGACATAAGCACAAAGATGATCATTAACCCTCCTGTTATATTCTTTTTGTATGTAACAGCAATAATATTGTACTGTGTAGTTTGTACCTTTTATTACCATCAATTAAATCAATATTTAGTGTCAATTGTGATATTGACCTCCCCGTTAGTATATGTTGGTAGTGCGTGAGGCCATATGTACAGATATGTACATGGGACATGAAAACAGTGCATCTCATATTGACAAAAATAAACCTCGCTAACCGAGTTTTCCAAATCACTCTAAAAATAAGCCGTTGTGATACACGTGTAGACAACATCTGCAGAATCATAAATGATCATTACATTGGGGTCATTAAACCATTATTTCGCTAAGATAAAAAACATTCAAGTTTTGGATTTTAGTGTAATTCACAAATGTTCCACCAGATGGTACCACACACACCCAGGGGGATAAGATGATATATTAACCCAGTAATAAGTGAGCTAAAAACAGCAGAATCACTGCTGTTAGCAGGGTCTCAGAGACCCATATACCCAGAGACCCAGGGTACAGCACCTCACTGTCTTACCCAGAAAACAGGGCTCTGATCAGGGCTAAAGTAATGTTATAAACTGGTGAATCTGTTTAAATGCAGGCAGCAGGGTCTCAGAGAGGCACAATAAGCTTACTCTGTGTGTCTGTCTGTCTCACACATGGGACAACAATTGAGCTGAAAATAATTGAGTCACGTACCCCCGAATATTGGGCAGATCGGCCATGAATGTCAGGTGCCCCAGGTTTTTCTTGCCATGGCTCATCCATCCAATGAATTGCCGGATCCTGTGCAACTTGGACTGAACATTATTGATGAGCTTGGGGGATGGGTCGGGTCCCTCATACAGCCGCTTAAAGTCTTCCAATAAGACGTCTGGAAAAAAGATAGGGAAACAATATGTTACTAGACGACTAACACAAAAAATCATCTCTATAAGGATCATGGCATTTATTCTACCATAAGTTGGGAGAGATGTACTCACTGAGGACGGGGACATGGTCAGGGAAGTCTGTCGACCGTAACTTAGAGGTGCCTGCTTCTGATGTTGGCTGGGGGCCGGCTTCTGAAGTCGGGGGGGGGGGATGCTGCAAGCTGCCCTGCTGTGCCAAATACCACAGTTTCTTTCTGTGCCTTTGCATTCTTTCGATGCAGCGCTAAGTAGGCCCTTCTCAAAGTTCTGTTATATCCCTGGGAGAGGTCGAGGGCATCATTTAAAGAAACAATTGTCTTCTTTAATTTGGCCACCTCGGCCTGCAGTTTTTTAACCAGGCCCTCTCCCTCTCCCTCTCCCTCCTCCTCCTCCTCCTCCTCCTCCTCCTCCTCCCCGTCTTCCTTTTCCAGGCCTGAAAAGTGATGGCATATTATATTGTTATTTTATTATTTCACCTTTCTTTATTGATTTTCACTTATATCAAAACAGAACAGGGCACATAAAAATGCAGATGTGTAATCATACAATTGAATTGAATTACATTTGTACCACAAATAAAAATGTCATTGCAGTACATATACTGTGTAAGCACATACACATAATATATATATACATATTCATACACACCCACCGATGCACTTAAAGAAATAAAATAAATAATACAATCCAATAAAATAAACAGTAAATTAAAAGGGAATGATGGGGGGGGGGGGGGGGGGGGCTTCATGCAGTCAGATTGGCACAGGGGAGTTTGTTAAAATAGTCAAGGAAAGGCTGCCAGATCTTGTAGTATTTGTTAACACATCCCTGGCTACGATACCTCAGCTCCTCCAGCTGCAAATGTGCCATCACATCCCTCACCCAGTGGGCATGAGATGGTGGAGTCCGGTCTTTCCATTTGAGGAGGATTAGACGGCGGGCAAGAAGGGTTGCAAACGCAAGTGAGTGTGACTGGCAATTAGAGAGGGAGACCCCCTCAGGGGCTACTCCAAACACAGCTATTATGGGATTTGGTTGTATGTTCTGGCCATACATCAATGAAAAAGTTTCAAATATAGAAGACCAAAATGGGGCAATGGACTGACAGGAGAAAAACATGTGCAATAGGGTAGCCGTGGCACAATGACACCTCTGGCATGTAGGATCAACATCAGGGTACAGCCTGGCAAGCCTGCTCCTGCACAGATGTAATCGATGGAACACTTTAAATTGAAGTACTCCATGCCTCACACAGACGGAGGATTTATGTATGTTCTCAGTCGCAGACCGCCAGGTCTCATCGGTTAGTTCTATGCCCATTTCTTCTTCCCAGGCACCCTTAAGGTGGTTAAGAGAAGGGCTAGAGATTTCTTGAATAATATTATATAGCTTTGAGATATAGCCTCCCTGACAAGGTTTAAGGCCCAGGCAGTCTTCCATCCATCCACCAGGTGGGGCGGCCGGGAAGGAGGGAAATTGTTTTCTTGTAAAATCGCGAATTTGTAAATATCTAAAATAATGATTCCTTGGGATGTCATATTCTTTAACTAAATGTTCAAAGGATGTGAATACCCCTTCGTAGAACAGATCAGCAACACACTTAAGTTCCTTCCGGGACCACAGGTGGAAAGCGGAGTCTATCAGGGCTGGTTTGAAAGCCGGATTGCGAACTATGGGGATGAAGGAGATAGTTTGTCTATATCCAAAATGCCTCCTGAACTGTGACCATATCCTGAGAGAGCTATTGACCACAGGGTTGTTCGAGTGATATTTTCTACTAAGTGGTAAAGGAGCACACATCAGGGAGGCAGGGGCCAGTGGTTCACACGAGTGTTGTTCCATGCTAGACCAAATAGGACCGCCCCCTTCCCGGAAATGACTCATCCAAAATGCCATTTTATGGATATTGGCAGCCCAGTAGTAGTGTAAAAAATTAGGCAGTGCAAGACCCCCCTCTGACTTTCTTTTCTCAAGAAATGCCTTACGCAGACGGGGAATTTTCTTATTCCAGATAAAAGTGGAAATATATTTGTCCAGGTCTTTAAAAAACTTTTTAGGGAGAAAAACAGGAATTGACTGAAAATAATACAGCATACGTGGCATAATAACCATTTTAATGGTGTTCACCCTGCCCGCCAACGAAATAGGGAGCGACGCCCAGCGCTTTAGGTCCTCATTAACCTTGTCCAGAGCTGGTTGCAGGTTCTTTTTAAACAGGGTTTTAAAGTCCTGTGTCACACACACTCCCAGGTAGGTGAAAGAGTCAATGGCCACTTTAAAGGGGAGTTCGCTAAATGAAATCTTGGCCGCAGTCTCATTGATGGGGAAGAGTACACTCTTGGTCATGTTGACCTTATACCCAGACGCCTTCCCGAAAGAGGTGATTACATCGAGTGCAGCCGGAATGGACCTAAGCGGGTCGGAGCAGTACAGTAAAACATCGTCCGCATACAAAGACAGCTTATGCGTATAGCCTCCCCGCTCAATGCCTGTAAAATTTGACCGATTCCTGAGCGCAGCTGCTAACGGTTCTATGGCTATATCAAACAAGAGGGGGGACAGGGGGCATCCCTGCCTTGTGCCCCGTTGAAGCCGGAAGTATTTTGAAATTATATTATTAGTGCGAACTGCTGCCTGAGGTGCAGAGTAGAGGACCTTTATCCAGGAGATAAAGCATGGGCCGATGCCAAATTTAGCAAGAGTTGCAAATAGGTAGTCAAATTCAATGCGATCAAAGGCTTTGTGTGCGTCTAGAGAGATGAGGGCCTCTGGAGAGAGTCCTGGATTTGAGTAAATTATATTATATAGGCGCCGAAGATTCCCAAAAGACTGTCGGCCTTTTACAAACCCTGTTTGGTCCGGGTGGATGATTCTATGCAGAACAGTCTCAAGGCGCAGAGCTAAAGCTTTGGAGAGAATTTTGTTATCACAACAGACTAGACTTACTGGTCTGTAAGAGTCGCATTTTGCTGGATCTTTGCCCTTTTTAAGGATGACTGTTATCACCGCCTGAGCTAATGTGGGGGGCAGTGAACCCTGCTGGAGTGCCTCTGCATATACTTCGCGCAGCACAGGCGTCAGTTTGCCGGCAAATTTTTTATAGAATTCAATAGGGAAGCCGTCCGGTCCCGGGGCTTTACCACTTTTCATACTTTTAATAGCGCGATTTATCTCCTCATTAGAAATGTCCCCCTCTAAAGCCGAGACATCGTCAGGATCCAGTGTTGGAAGCTTAAGGTCCTTTAGAAAGTTAGCTGTCAGAGAGTCATCCGAGACTTCTGATGAATAAAGATCTTCATAGAAACTCTTAAATTGATCATTAATGCCCCTTTGATCTGAAATGGTGTCCCCATTTACCGTTCCAATTTCCGCAATTAAACTGTCTGCAGCCGACTGCCTTAATTGATGGGAGAGTAATTTACTGGCCCGCTCCCCATGTTCATAATGGGTCTGCCTAGATCTCAGATGAAGGTCCTCTATGTAGATGGATGCCAGAGAGTCATATTCCACCTGCACTGCAATGCGTTCCTTATACAGTTCAGCAGAGGGCTTTGTTGAGTGTATTCTATCAATGTCCCTGATCCGATTAGCAAGTTCTGTCATTCGCTTTGTCCTTTTTCTGCTAATACTGATTGAATATGATATTATTTGCCCACGAAGATAAGCCTTCATGGCCTCCCATACAATGCCTATACTCATCTCTGGTTGACGGTTTATTTCAAGAAAGGTATCGATGTGCGTGGAAATATACTTAATAAAATCTTCATCTAATAATAAGCGTGGGTTTAGACGCCAGATCCTTTGTGGTGGTACATGGTTTGGAAAACAAAGTTTCATGGTCACTGGGCTGTGGTCAGAAATAACAATGCTCTCATAGTCACTGGACTCAAGCACAGAAAGTAACTTTTTATCTAAAATGAAGTAATCTATTCTGGAGAATGACTGCTGGGCTGCAGAAAAAAATGAAAATTGTTTAGATGTTGGGTTCTTAAATCGCCATGGGTCCACCATCCCGTATTCTTCAACAAAGGAGTTCACCACTCGAGCCGAGTTTGACAGTGGTCTAGAGGAGACAGTGGAGCGGTCCAGAGTGTGATTGAGGGCGCAGTTAAAGTCTGCCCCCAAAATTAGGTGATGGGAGTTCAAATCAGGGAGCAGAGAGAAGAAATTGCTAAAGAAATCGGCATCATCTGAGTTGGGAGCATAGAGACATGCAAGCACAATAGGTGTGTTGTACAATTGACCTTGCACTATGATATAGCGGCCATTTGTATCTGCAATTACTTTAGATTCCACAAACTGCACATGCCTACGTATCAGGATCGCTGCACCCCTATATTTGGTGTTGAATTTGGAGTGGAAAATGTGAGAGAAACCACCCCGCTTGAGTCTAGAGCAGGGCTCTCCAACACATCGATCGCGAGCTACCGGTAGCTCGCGGGCAGCTTTTCAGTAGCTCGCCGCTCGATTATCGATTATAGCGTAGTGAGGTTGCTTATTGATTTTTCGGCCGCGGCTGGACAATAACGTTTTTTTATTTTAGAATTTTTTCTGTCACACGAATATCAAATGGTCGGTGACGCAGAGATCAAGAAACAGACGTGACAGCGGCACAGCGACAACACACACGGAGCAGTCTGCTTTCTCCACCAGCACCAGTCCAGAACTAACAGCAGAATGACCCGCTCTGAATCAGGCCCTGTCGCTGCGGCTCAGAGACACACAGGGAGGGATTTGTGTTTTTTGAAAAACACTCGTTATCGTCATGTCAGGTTTTTGGTGGATTTAATCAAGTCTTGGATTGCAGAGTATGAATGTCCTCTTGCTATTTTCAGTTGATAAATACTTGTGTAAAGTATGTGAAGGCAGGAGGAAAGCTTCCGCGATCACCGTCTCCTCTGTTCCTCCAAACCCCGCCCCCTCCCTGAAAATAATGAGTGACAGGCTGATAGTGACCCGATAGAAACTTTATTATTCACTTAATCACTGATTGAGATATGAAGCTAACTTAATCTCATACATTCATGGGATTTATGTAACAGTAAGACACCCACATGCACTATTTTTGTTTTTATAATGCTGTTGTAAATACTCCTGTTGTCTGCTGTGTTCAGACTTAAGTCATGTGTGTGATGCCACATTCAGGACATTCAGTGTCTTTTTTTTAACAGAAGACCGTAGCTAGAAGCTGCAGCTAGACTGCAGAAGTATTCGTTTTTTGTTTTTGAGGATGGAACCATTTTCACACACAGATATAGGGAGGCTAGACCTATACACTTGATTTATTATGGTTTATAATTTAATGTCAAGACGAAGAAGAAGAAGAAAAAGATGGCTGAACAACTGTTCAGTGTCAATCCTGTGGAGATCTCCAAAATAATGTTCAGCTTAAGTCTCAGCAAAACTCACAACATTTCTGGAGCCTTGTAGACACCAAAAACTATAGAACATTCACCAAGCAGCACTGAAAATGTCTGCTTTATTTGGTTCTGTTCTACATACCTTTGTGAAGCAGCTTTTTCTGACATGAATGAAATCTAAATACAGAACAAGACTGACTGATGGACATAATTAGAGTGAACCTAAGTGGGTACACTCCAGCAGACACCTGTATGGTGGACTGCATGCAGTGCCATTCATCTCACTAACAAAAGAGTGAAATGCTTGTAAGGTGGTGATTAAGGACACTCATGTGAATGTTCAGTGATGTACTTATTATGTGGGCCATAATAATATGTGAGAAATCTTCGTTTTCTTGGACCTTGATGTGAAGTTAAGATTTTTGATAAGCTTTAGGTATTGCAATTTCACACGTGTACAAAAGTATAGCTTAATTCAACTGATGAGGGCTATGTGAATAAATGTAAGCGATGTGATGCAAGTAGCTCTTGGCCACTTTCATTTTTTCAAAGTAGCTCTCAGATGAAGAAAGGTTGGAGACCCCTGGTCTAGAGTGATCAGAAGTACGCAAATGAGTTTCCTGGAGATAAACAATGTCTGCCTTTAGCTTCTGGAGGTGGGAAAACACTTTGCTGCGCTTTACTGGATGATTGAGACCTCTAACATTCCAGCTAACAAAAGTAGTTGCCGCCTTACCCACACTCAGTGCCCTGTTTGCCTGGGTCATTGTGGGACCTTATGGCGCATTTCCATTGCAGCGCGTAGCTCGCTTTAAGCGTGCCGTGTCGTGCCGTCCCCTTTTTTGGTTGTGCTTCCACTAGGCCTCGTTCCGGCGCGGCACGGCGCGGGGCCACTTTTTCCCCTCTTTTCTGGCCCTAGAAAATTGTGGTTCTATCGGGGCCAACAAACAGGGCTGAGTCGGGCTGAGTATGCTAAACTAGAGAGAGGAGCGCTGGCAAGAGGGCTAGAACTACAACAAGATGGACATATTTGACCGTGATTTAATTGTAATACACGTTTCAAAATGATGCCGAAGTAACAACATACTGATACCGGTTAGTAAAAACCATGAATTAATGCTTTGTCAAGTCTGCAGACAGACGGCAGGCGAAAAACCTTTTAAAATTCGTGTTTTTCTAGATGGAGATTGGCTAAGCTAACGCAGTATATGCCCCGACCGTCCACACTCACAACAACGGCCTATACAGACATAAATAAAGCAGCGACTGTATTCACCATGACACAGGCAGTCTGTGGTGTGTACTTGTTTAACTTTTGTCGAGTTTCTGAACATATATAAGGAGCTGTGAGCTCCGAGTGCTCACAGCTAACGGCTGTGTTGTGTTTCTGGATTTCTCATTGAAGATGACGTTACGGCTCCGCCTACACTGCGTTACTATAGTAACTACCCCAGTTCCTAAACTGTAATGGAAGCGCAGCATGAAGTGAGTCGGCCCTGTTAAGGCCCAACGCGGCCAAGCCGTACCGAGCCGTACCGAGTGTGGCCGAGGCCGACCGTGTAGTGGAAATGCGCCATTAGACAGTAATCTAGCCCCCTGTCAGAAGGGTGAGGGAGAGGAAGGGAGAGAAAGGGGGGATGGGTCACCTTAAAAAAACTGAAATAAAACACACAGCGATAAGAACATAAACACCATTGAGAACCTAAAATAGAAGGTCCATATGTAATTGAAGTGGTTGAAACAACATTCACAATAAAGAGCTGGTCCCTCCCCAAATGAGGGACTGCTACCCGCCCCCGATAACACTCGCATCTCAACGTGGACAGCTTACCTGGCGAGATCGAGCCCCGCCAGAACCATCAATAGCTTTAGATAAACCTTGTGATAATAGATATAGACAAACCTCCAAGTTGAACATTCATAACATGGTCTCAGTAGAAGTAACAAACTTATTAACCAGTTATGACAACATATGCAAACATACAGTATTGGTTGTTGAATGAAAAGTAAAGCAAGAAAAACGTGAACCTCCCCAGGAGAATAGGAGAGCAGTTGCTTGAACTAGCGGGCCGTAAGCCAACTGACTGTGTTATAATGTGGGCTAGTGTGAGCAGCGCGAGCTGGCTTAAATTACACAATAATAAGAAAAACCACAAATGTTCGTAGCAAGCCCTAGCCCACAGCCCCATATACTACAAGTGAATAAGTCAACGCCGCTATCCGGCGCCGCCTGTTATAGCTGCATTAGTCAGTCAGTCAGCTTACCTAGCATCTTAGCCGCTCTGTTTAGCCACGTTCCTCAAAACAAAGTCCTTCGCCACCCCCGGGTCTGTGAAACTGTGTCGCTTTCCATCGGCCGTTGTGATCCGCAGAACTGAGGGATACCACAGTCCGTACTTGACACCATCACAGCCTCTTAGCATGCCTTTCACATCCCTGAAGGTGGCTCTCTGCTTCGCGACTGCTTGGGTGTAGTCGGGGAATACTCTGATCCTGTCTCCGTGTGACGTTGTCGGATCTGTGGCCGTGGCTGCCTTGCGGAGGATCGCTTCCTTCTCCCGGTAATAGTGAAATCTCACCACAAAGGCGCGGGGTGGCTGGTCCTCCTGGGGCCGTTCCCGTAGGGTGCGATGGCATATGTCTAGTAGTGGCTCTTTTTCTAAGCCCAGCGTTTCCTGGAGTAGTTTAGCTACAAAGTCAGTTGGGTTCTTCCCTGCCTCCCGTTTTTCTTGTATCCCGGTGATGCGGAGGTTGCACCTCCTAGATCGCGCCTCCAGGTCCTCACTCCTGTCAGCGAAGATTTTCATATCCTTTTTTATCTGCTGCACGTCTCGTTCGAGAGTGGTAATGAGGTCTGAGTGATCATTAGCGGCAGTATCCAGGCTCTCGACCCGGTCCTCCAAAGACTTGGTGCGGCTGCTGACGCGATCAAAGGCGGATCTCAGCTCGTCCCTCAGTTGGCTTATTTCACGTCGTAATTCTTTGGACTGCATCTCGGCGTTGTCATCGATTTTCTTCAGCAGGTCCTCTCTGAGAGATTGAATGGCCTGTAGAATGGCGGTCTCATCGCCTCGTGCTGCGCTAGCGGCTAGGGGCCCTGCCCCAGCACCTTTAGCCGGGCTAGCACTATTAGCTTTCGGATCTGGCGCAGCAGACGCCTTTTTGCGAGAGGAAGACGACATATTTCGAATTAAACTGTTGGGCGGAGGCAAGGAAGAACAGCTTAGATGAAAATTACTTGAATATAATGTAGAGGGTAGTTGTCTAATATAAATATTCTGATTCTGGCGAGGAGCTCGAGAAATGCGACCTCACATGGCTCCGCTCAGACCGGAAGTCCTATATTGTTATTTTATAACTCATGCATATGGAATACAAAATAAAAGTTTCAATAATTAATAATAATAATAAAAATGAAATGGATAAATCCAAGAATAAATTAATAAATACAAGTATAAATTAATAAATACAATACAGTTCAGTACATAAGTCAACACCATTTCTCTATCAATGTCTATACAAAACATTAATCTGTTTAAATTCAGGAAGTAAACAGCAAAACAATACTTCAGGGCTTTTTAAACACACTTTTACCCATGTTTTAAGCACGTATTCCTGGGTAAATGTGTTATAACAGGGTTCCTGCAGGTTTCACCTACTCAAATTTAAGACTTTTTAAGACCTTTTTAAGACCACTTTGAATAGAATTTAAGACCTATTTCACGGCAAGAAAGTATGAAGGAAAATTGCTATGAAAGAAGAAATACGTCCCATAATTACTTACAAAGTAAATGTAAAGGCATAACAGAACTGTGTTAGCGTGTTAGACAAAAAGTGTATGTGTCTGTGTGTGCTTGTGTGTGTGTGTGTTAGGGGTGTGCAATTAATCGTATTTTAAATCGCAATTACGATTTTGGCCTGCCACAATTACGAAATTATTTAGCTTTGCTCGGTTGTGACAGTGCACTACAACATATTTGATCTAATTAATTTTAGTCTAATTTATTTGTATTTATCATATTTATATATGTTTAGTAGCTTGTGGAAGTGCGCTCCAAAATATTTGTTGATCTTGTTTATTGGTATTTATTATTTTGATATTATTTATTTAAATGTATAATTTATTTAATTTATTTTTGTATTGGTTTTGCAGTTGAATTATACGTTCAGGGTAATCAACAGTTAAAAAGATACTGTTCAAATTATTATTTGTTTTAAAGTTCAATAAATGGATGTTTTCAAAGTCATAGCGTCTACGGCACCTCCGCTTTTAGGGTTGACATACACCCAAACGTCGCCCAGAGGTCCGCCGGTGTTGTTGCAGGAGCTGCTGCACTAGCTAACGCTACATTAGCATACGCTACTTTCTTTTGCAAAAGGTGCAGCGGGCTTCAAACACGTTCCCCTCCACTGGTTTCAACCAAGCACTAAATTCGATGTTTTCCAACCAAATACGGTTGAACTTACACTTCCCCATATTTATTTTTAAGTAGATTCTAAGATACATGAGTTTCTGACTGCCGCTAGCTGAAGCTTGCTAGGTTACTAGCTGGGTGTTCTCCAATAAGGGGCCGGGGGAAACAAAGTTAGTGATTACTGGTTCCATGTTGATTTATTTCAATACAAATTGTTGGGGGGAACTGAAAGGCTCTTACCGTACTGGTTACTTTGCAGCCCGGACATTTCCCCCAAAACACATTTAGACGCGATCTCAACACAGAAGTACCTTTCAAATCCGATCATTTTTAAGACCTTCTAAATCATATTTAAGACCTTTCTTATTTTTTTGGTCATATTTAAGACCTTTTTAAGGCCTTAAATTCAGATTATCAAATTTAAGACTTTTTAAGACTTTTTAAGACCCCGCGGGAACCCTGTATAAACAAACAGCTGGATTGACCACGCGTAAGTATTTACCTTCCGCCTGATCCAGGTCCAGTCTGGAGACCATTGGCACCGTCGGATTTGTTGCTCTCAGGCTCCCCAACTTCGCCAACATTAGCCGCCTCCTTAGACCGGTAAGCAGGTTTTTGTTGGCTGCAGAGGACATCTCTGTGTGACTATTCAAGTGCCGGTCCAGCCGACTACCCTTTTCAAGAGCACAGCAAGGCACTGGGCACGCCTCAGTTCTCACATTTAGCCTCCCGCCAGCCAACACAATTAAATGTGTCTTTTCTTTCTTTAAGCACTTTGTGAGTTACTTTTAAATGTTGCGATAAGTACGAGTACTCACGAAGACAAATTGGGCATTTGCTGACCATAATTGCGACTACTTCTTCTTCTCTTTGTGTAGCAGATATCTCTTCTCTCTCCTTCTTCTTCTTGTCTTCTCTGGTGTGGTGGTCGTTAAAGAACGTTCGAGCTTACAACACGTGTATAATGGCGCGTTTCCACTACAGCGCGCAGCCCGGTTTAAGAGGGCTGTGACGTCAGCGGCCCGTCTTTGGTTGCGTTTCCACTTGGCCTAGTACCGGCCGGCGGGTCCTAATTCACAGTTTTTCTGGCCTCATAAAATCGTGGGTCCAGGGCCAGAGACAACGAGGCTGAGTCGGGCTGAGTATGCTAAACTAGAGAGAGCGTCGCTGGCAAGGGGGCTACAACTACAACAAGATGGACATATTTGACCGTGATTTAATTGTAATACACGTTTCAAAATGATGCCGAAGTAACAACATACTGATACCGGTTAGTAAAAACCATGAATTAATGCTTTGTCAAGTCTGCAGACAGACGGCAGGGGAAAAACCTTTTAAAATGCTTGTTTTCTAAATGGAGATTGGCTAAGCTAACGCAGTATATGCTCCGACCGTCCACACTCACAACAACGGCCTATACAGACATAAATAAAGCAGCGACTGTATTCTCCATGACACAGGCAGTCTGTGGTTTGTACTTGTTTAACTTTTGTCTAGTTTCTGAACATATATGAGGAGCTTTGAGCTCTGAGTGCTAACAGCTAACGGCTGTGTTGTTTTTCTGGGGTCCTCTGAAGATCACGTCACGGCTCCGCCTACACTGCGTTACTATAGATACTGCCCCAGTTCCTAAACTGTAATGGAAATGCGCCATAAAGTGAGCCAGTCCTAACGAGGCCCAGCCATACCGAGCGGGGCCGAGCGAGGCCGTGTAGTGGAAACGCGCCATTAATATCCTCTGTGACTCCTCCTTTTCCAAGTTGTAAAGGTGAATCACGTCACTGTCACATCCTGTAAACATTTTCAGAATAAAGACACATTTCACACAAGTTTTTCGCAAACATTTCCCCAGGCGTCCGGGAGTACTTCCATTAGCTTCGTCTTGATCTGTAGATGTGATTTGAGGGATCGTTTGTTAATTTTTGACGGTGGAAAAGACAGATAAATGTCCCGTTTCTGTACTGAGAAATCTATTGATTCACAGACATTGGTCCGTTTTCGGACATTTAACACACGTTTTTCGCAAACATTTCCCCACGCTAGGTCTCCGGGAGTACTTCCATTAGCTTCGTCTTGATCTGTAGATGTGATTTGAGGGATCGTTTGTTAATTTTTGACGGTGGAAAAGACAGATAAATGTCCCGTTTCTGTACTGAGAAATCTATTGATTCACAGACATTGGTCCGTTTTCGGACATTTCACACACGTTTTCCGAAGACGGATAGGCCTCGCTCCTTGCTGCGGGAGGTCGGGGTTCGAATCTCCTCTCAGACGACAATTATTATTTTTATTATAATAATATATTATATATATATATTATAATTTAGTTGAATTAAGAGTGCGAGTCTCTACATTTAGGTTAGTTATTATAGCTTTATTTCTTTTGTAATTATTAAATATAAAACACAGAATTTGTGTGACTATATTAAACTGCCTCTGGCAGTGTGCATTCATTGTTTTGAAATTAGAGTAGATGTCTTAGATATTATATTATTATTATTACAGTTATTACTCAATCAGCAAAAAAAATAATTATTTAACAATAATAATATAATATCTAAGACATCCACTCTAATTTCAAAACAATTTACTCAGAGGCTGGTTTCGAACTCTGACCTCCCAGGCCAAGGGGCGAAACTTATCAACCAACGCCACCCTCATTGAGCATAAGTCTGATATATAGTACAGTGACGGGACATTTCCCTTTCTTTTTCTCCATCAAAAATGAAAAACGATCCATCAAATCACATCTACAGATCAAGACGAAGCGAATGGAAGTACTCCCAGACACCTAGCTTGGAGAAATGTTTGCGAAAAACGTGAGTGAAATGTCCGAAAACGGAGCAATGTCTGTGAATCTATAGATTTCTCAGTAGAAAAACGGGACATTTATCTGTCTTATCCACCCTCAAAATGGAAAAACGATCCATCAAATCACATCTACAGATCAAGACGAAGCTAATGGAAGTACTCCCGGACACCTAGCTTGGAGAAATGTTTGCGAAAAACGTGTGTGAAATGTCCGGAAACTGACCAATGTCTGTGAATCTATAGATTTCTCAGTAGAAAAACGGGACATTTATCTGTCTTATCCACCCTCAAAATGGAAAAACGATCCATCAAATCACATCTACAGATCAAGACGAAGCTAATGGAAGTACTCCCGGACACCTAGCTTGGAGAAATGTTTGCGAAAAACGTGTGTGAAATGTCCGGAAACTGACCAATGTCTGTGAATCTATAGATTTATCAGTAGAAAAACGGGACATTTATCTGTTCCAGCCCAGAACCTCCACCCCGCTGCGGGACCCGTGGTGGGACCCCTGAGTCAGACGGTTCGTCTTGGTCTCGCTTCATATCGGCCGGCCCGGGAGGGAGGAGACACGCAGGGTTACCCCCACGCAGCACACCCTCCCGGCCATCAGAGTCGAACCCGCAGTTCGGAGGAACCGACTGCCAGAGCACCGGCACGAGGCCCGGCCGGCGGAGGCCCTCCGATGGCGGGTATTGAAGTATTCGATGTTCTCGCGCCCAGGAGAGGAGCTTAGAATGAAGAGACTAATGGAGTCTCCGAAAAGGTTCAAATTGGTTGAGTTTAATTAAGTAACGTGGTTAAAGAACAAGCATGGGTAAGGAGAGACAAAGCCGGTGTTGTCTTCAGGGAGGCTGCAGCGAAGAAAAGAGACTGAGTTGTCCTCTGTCATCTGTTTTTATCCACGTCTCGTTGTCTCCCGCTGTGCAGATAGTGGGACCGCCCTTCTCATCTGTGGGTTCGATATCGCGAGAGAACAGATGATTTCGACATTGGTATTAGGCTTGTTTGAGACGAGCTGCGGCTCGCCTCGAAAGTAGACGAGAATAGCCGATCGCAGCCGGGGGAGGTCTCAAAAAGCTCGCCTGAAGTCGGACAGCTCGGAGTCGGCTTCTTCTTCTTCTTCTTCTCTCAGTTTTTTGGCGGATTTCAAACAACTTTAAGGTGCATACTGCCACCTCAGGAGTCGGCTTGACTCGGTTTGCATTTATAAATGCACACGGCATCTATTGCACGTCTGTCCGTCCTGGGAGAGGGATCCCTCCTCTGTTGCTCTCCCTGAGGTTTCTCCCATTTCCCCTTTAAACTGTGGGTTTTTCTCTGGAAGTGTTTCCTTGTATGATGTGAAACGTAAGGACAGAGGGTGTCGTATTGTCATACTGATATTCTGTACAAACTGTGAAGTCCACTGAGACAAATGTAACATTTGTGATATTGGGCTATATAAATAAACATTGATTGATTGATAAAGAATGGACAAATGTGTTTAATCGTTAATGTCAGATATGTACTAAGTAAATACATTTGTTCCTGCTCAAGATTAGATTCAACTTTATTGTTATTGCACAGATTACAGGTACTGAGACAACGAAATGCAGTTTAGCTTCTAACCAGGAGTGCATAAAGCAGTAAAGTAAAAAGTAATGTACACGATCTACAGAATAAAATATAGAATGAATTGAATGATGAAAAAACAGTGAGGGGTATGAATACACTATATACACAGTAGCCTAGCCTAGTATGAACAGTGTGTTGTATGAATATGCTAAGATATATAAAGTATGACAACGGTAAGCAGTGCAAGTATAGTATAAAATATATAGATATTAATGTCATGATGATAAACATTGTGGAACAATGATGAAAAATGTGAATGGAAGTGGCGACGTAAAACTGACACAAAACAACAACACACTTTTGCCGAGCCAATGGAGAGTTTCATCTCCAGCACGGGGTAAAACCCACCAATGAGCGCTCAGCTCGAGATACCAGCGAGTCGTTTCCCATCAAGCATTTCGCTTCCGCAGCCCGGGGAGAGAAACTGCGCCGCCTCGCCGCGCCTCGCTCTCAAGTCTGCGGGCGTCTTTGTCCCGCGAGATTTCAACGTCTCATGTAGGCGAGCCTCCAGAGCAAGTCGGACAAAATAACTAACCATCATGCAACGCACGAGCAAGACGTTGATCGCAATTGCGCAGGTCTGCGCAGGTCTCGCTTGTCTCAAACAAGCCTATTCTCTGCCTACTTCCTTAAGCATTTTCTCCTCCTTATCTCTGTCATGACTTTCTATTTAATACCTTATAAACAGCTGTAATCGTTAGTTTAGAAGTCCTAAAAACGCCTCTATGGCACAGTTCTCATTTACGGTAGCTCCCTCTGACGTCATAGCTACTCACGTAATGTGTAAACACTCCATGATCAACTGTACCTTCATTTAATATTCAGCAGTAATAATATCTTAACGTCTATCGATGTAGTGTTAAAGTCCGTACGTTTTGGTGTGTAACACTCCAAGTCATTTTCACTTTACATTCAGAAAACGTAACATTAGTCACATGCTAACCGGATAAAGGATTTTCAGAATAAAGCTTGGCATTGATTTCCTGAGAACTTCCGGGTTTTTCCACAATAAAACAGCTTTGAACTGACGATATGTTTTAGACTGAATTATGCTGTTTAACATTGATTTTAATTTCTAACACGGGTCACGTTTGCCATTCGATCAGTGAGATGAGAGGAGAGGAGGAGGAGGAGGAGAACTCAGCAAAAATGGTCAAAATCCGTTAATGTACGGATGAGTGGGGGGTGAAACGGCTGTACACAAGCCCTGGGGGGGGCACCCGGGACCGGGCAGTGCCCCCGGCAGAAGGAACCGGGTCAAACGGGCCAAAACAGGGGAAAAAAGAAAATTAAAAAGAACCAGGCAAAAGGGGGGAAAATGGTGTCTCATGACCCCGCAAGAGTCCCCCATGGACTCCCCTGACATTCCTCCATGGGCAAAATCAACAAACTCAACTTTTGTGAGAACCGGGAAAAGGGGTCAAAATGGAAAAATTGTACCCCAAAATAGTGCCTCATGACCCCGCAAGAGTCCCCCGTAGACTCCCCTGACATTCCTCCATGGGCAAAATCAACAAACTCAACTTTTGTGAGAACTGGGAAAAGGGGTCAAAATGGAAAATTTGTACCCCAAAATAGTGCCTCATGACCCCGCAAGAGTCCCCCGTGGACTCCCCTGACATTGGCACTATCCTCCGTCATCACAATGTCCATTTCCACTGTTACGCCGATGATACACAGGTCTACATTTCCAGCAAACCCAACACTGCCCTCCCCCCAACCTCTCTCACCAACTGCCTCCAGGACATCAGGAACTGGATGAGCAGGAACTTCCTAAAGCTCAACGGCAGCAAAACCGAAGCCCTGCTGGTTGGCACCAAAACCACCCTCTCCAAAACCTCATCCTCCCCTGCCTCCAACCTCATCATTGATGGCTACTCCATCCCCTTCTCTGGCCAAGTTAAGAGCCTTGGTGTCATCCTGGACAGCTCCCTCTCATTTTCACCTCACATAAATAACATCACCCGGACTGCCTTCTTCCACATACGCAACATCTCCAGACTCCGCCCATCCCTTTCTCAATCAAACACTGAAATCCTGGTCAATGCCTTTGTCACCTCCCGCATCGACTACTGTAACGCCATCCTCTCAGGCATCCCCACCAAGCTCATCAACAAACTACAAATCATACAGAACTCTGCAGCCCGGATCATCACCGGCACCAAGGCCTCAGAACACATCACCCCCATCCTCATCCAACTCCACTGGCTCCCCGTTCAATCACGCATCAACTTCAAAAACCTACTGCTGACTTACAAAGCCCTACATAACCTGGCCCCCCCCTATCTGGCTGAACTTCTTCAGGAGTACACCCCGTCTCGCTCCCTCCGCTCCTCCTCTGCTGGTCTGCTAACCGTCCCCACCCCACGCCTCGTCACCATGGGTGCTCGGGCTTTTAGCTGCACTGCTCCCAGACTCTGGAACTCCCTCCCCCCGCACATCCGACAGTCAGACACAATCACCATATTCAAATCCCAATTAAAAACCCACCTGTTCAAATCTGCCTACTCACTGTAGTCCTCCCTATTATATGTTTAATTTGTGTCCACTTGACTGTCTCCTCCATGATTTCCTGTTTGTGTTTTTATCATGTTTTGCTGCCTATTAGCGTTTTTTTTTTTTTTTTTTTTTTTTAACAAATTGTACGGTGTCCTTGGGTGTCATGAAAGGCGCCTAAAAATAAAATGTATTATTATTATTCCTCCATGGGCAAAATCAACAAACTCAACTTTTGTGAGAACCGGGAAAAGGGGTCAAAATGGAAAAATTGTACCCCAAAATAGTCCCTCATGACCCCGCAAGAGTCCCCCGTGGACTCCCCTGACATTCCTCCATGGGCAAAATCAACAAACTCAACTTTTGTGAGAACCGGGAAAAGGGGTCAAAATGGAAAAATTGTACCCCAAAATAGTGCCTCATGACCCCGCAAGAGTCCCCCGTGGACTCCCCTGACATTCCTCCATGGGCAAAATCAACAAACTCAACTTTTGTGAGAACCGGGAAAAGGGGTCAAAATGGAAAAATTGTACCCCAAAATAGTGCCTCATGACCCCGCAAGAGTCCCCCGTGGACTCCCCTGACATTCCTCCATGGGCAAAATCAACAAACTCAACTTTTGTGAGAACCGGGAAAAGGGGTCAAAATGGAAAAATTGTACCCCAAAATAGTGCCTCATGACCCCGCAAGAGTCCCCCGTGGACTCCCCTGACATTCCTCCATGGGCAAAATCAACAAACTCAACTTTTGTGAGAACCGGGAAAAGGGGTCAAAATGGAAAAATTGTACCCCAAAATAGTGCCTCATGACCCCGCAAGAGTCCCCCGTGGACTCCCCTGACATTCCTCCATGGGCAAAATCAACAAACTCAACTTTTGTGAGAACCGGGAAAAGGGGTCAAAATGGAAAAATTGTACCCCAAAATAGTGCCTCATGACCCCGCAAGAGTCCCCCGTGGACTCCCCTGACATTCCTCCATGGGCAAAATCAACAAACTCAACTTTTGTGAGAACCGGGAAAAGGGGTCAAAATGGAAAAATTGTACCCCAAAATAGTGCCTCATGACCCCGCAAGAGTCCCCCGTGGACTCCCCTGACATTCCTCCATGGGCAAAATCAACAAACTCAACTTTTGTGAGAACCGGGAAAAGGGGTCAAAATGGAAAAATTGTACCCCAAAATAGTGCTTCAAAATCGGGTAGAGTCACCTGCAAAGTGCCCTTGCAGACTGAGAAATCTATATAGTAGACTTGTCCTCAATTATTTCCAAGCGAAGACGGGTAAGCCTCGCTCCTTGCTGTGGGAGGTCGAGGTTCGAATCTCCTCTCAGACAACAATTATTATTATAATAATATATTATATATATATTATAATTTAGTTGAATTAAGAGTGCGAGTCTCTACATTTAGGTTAGTTATTATAGCTTTATTTCTTTTGTAATTATTAAATATAAAACACAGAATTTGTGTGACTGACAAATACTTGGTAAGTGGGCTGGCATATGGTCAGGGTGGACAGTCAATGAGTTAAAATGAACAGAAAATTGTGAAAAGTTGCTACTAATTGATAACTTTTGTTAACAAGCTCCGTTCGGTTCAGGTCCAGTGTCTACCCCCCCATTTCCACGTACCCCGCATCCAACGGTACTCTCCCTGCATCTCTAGGACCTCAGGGAGCGGAATTACGGCAGAGGGTCAGATTCTGAAAATACCATTTCATGTTTTTTTCAGCCACCACCCCACATGACAAATACTTGGTAAGTGGGACCCAATATGGGGTTGACGGACAGCCCCACATGACAAATACTTGGTAAGTGGGACCCAATATGGGGTTGACGGACAGCCTCACATGACAAATACTTGGTAAGTGGGACCCAATATGGGGTTGACGGACAGCCCCACATGACAAATACTTGGTAAGTGGGACCCAATATCAAGTAACTGTATTCAGCTCGCGTTATATTTGAAAAACGAGTAATCTGATTACAGTTACTTTCGTAAATCTGAAGTGAATACATTTTGGAATACTTATGGGAATTATTGGTGGAAAAGTTTCCTCATAAAATGTAATCGTCATTACCAGCAGAACTGTGTGCACACTGCACAGCGCTGCAGCGTGTCTGTGAGCGAGAGAGAGATGCAGCGTGTCTGTGAGGCCCCGCCCCCGCACGCAGATCAGAGAGAGAGATCTCTTTTAAAATATATTGAAAGTTAGAAACGGAGATGGTTCGATAAAATGTGCAAGATAACGTTTATGTAGCATTTCTTTATTGTCGAAATGATGACATTTCATAACGGGATCAAATCAAAGTGAATGGCCTGATGCTGCTGAATGCATGGGGCAAGTGACTGGAAACAGTTTTAAAAGTTATTACGTCGTTTCAGATTATAAATAATAATGATAATTCATTCTATTTAGGGGCGCCTTTCAAAGCACCCAAGGACACCTGACAATTCATAACATATTCTAAGGAAAGGTTTAAGAGAGTACAAATAATGCAGTCCGGGTGATGTTTTTTATGTGGGGTGCAGATGAGAGGGAGCTGTCCAGAATGACACCAAGATGTTGTGTTTGAGTTGTGCTCTTGATAAGCCATTAAAACAGTAAAATAAGTGTCTCCTGTTCACCAAAACATACCCATCTGTTATGGAAAAATAAAGTATTCCAAAAGTATTCTAAAAGTAATCTGAATACGTTACTTTTTTAAGACACGTAACTGTAACTGTATTCGGATTACTTTCAGAGCCATGTATTCAGTAACCGATTACATTTTCCCAACCCTGATTAAAAGTGCCAAAACGCCACTATGAGACAAAACACAAAGTGTTTGACCAAACATTCCCTCTCAAGTCAGAACTGAGGTCACAAAAAATAAGCAGTCTCAGAGCCCAATATGATCAGTCCACCAGGATCAAAATTAAAACTAAATATGGTTCCAGGGCAGGCTAACCGAGGCTAACCAATGAGCACCTGCATGTGTACCTGCATAGAATGGCCCTGACACCATTTCAGCCCAGATTTAAACTCCGGGCAGGACAAGCTCAAGCTCAATTCTCGCACTGAATTAAAGAAAAGTGAGTGAGGGACTGCAATATAAGAGGGAAAGAAAGAGAAACTTTAAAACTGTTCAATTGTTATGATGTGTAAAGACTGATATTGTTCTATAATCGTCTGAAACTGTTAAGTCATGATGTGAAACGGTTAACAAAGCTATATTATTTATTTCTCTATTTTATTTTTAAATGCAGCCCGAGAGGAACATTACACATATCCACAGTATTTACTGTATATCTGTATAGTTCAATGTTCATTGACAATAAATATTGTTGTTTTTGAATTGTACTTTCTTTATTTGATTGGCAGTCGGTTGTTGATGACATGCAGACGTTGATAAAGCTACAGGCTACTCCAATATATATCACACTAAATCATAAAGCAAGTTAGACATTTTGATGTTCCGGACCTTTGCATGGGGACATTTTCTCTAACTGGACCTCGTTGAATTTTAGTTGAATACCCCTGGTGTATGGTGTGGGAAGATGGCGCCTGTGTCGGCTCGCCGCTCCATCAGCTCTCTGCCTTTAGCTATCCTGTTTTTGTTTTATGTTTGTCAGAATGTCTCTGCTCTGCTCGTCTACGATCGCCAAGCTCTCCTCCACCTCAGACCCTCACTGGAGTTTATATTGCTGCCCAAACCTACATCTGGCAACCATAAATCGTCCCCCCCCCCCTCTACTGTTGGATATACCCACCTACCTGCGCCGGTTGCCCTGCATCCTGCCTCGCCGAAAGCACTTTAGACGACGGGGAAAGCGTGGTGGTGCACTGGTCCATCTTAAGGCATACCTGACGGCTTCTTCTGGGACTTATCCACGCCTCGGATGTCATGGCCCTCCCGCTGCACGCCATGTGAGGGATCGATGGATTCGCCCTGTTTTTCCGGAGCTGCGGCCTCTGCTGGGCCCGCTGACAGCTCCTCCTGCCCGACTGACTGCTCCCGGCCCGCGCGGCGTTCAACACGCACATCTTCGTCAGCTGAGACGCACTACACCTTCGGCAAGCCCGGAGCGAAAACTTTGCATGGCTTTGCTAAACGACTTCTTCACCTCTCGTGAACTGTATTTTATGTTCCTGACGGAGACCTGGGTCCACGCTGGCGAGTATACACCGTTCTCTGAACTTCTTCCTCCTGACTGTACATTCTTCAGCTCCCCCCGTGCCACCGGCCATGGTGGGGGCATAGCATCAGTGTTTAGAGCTAGCCTCCAATGCCGATTGCTTCACCCTGTAACTAGCTATGCTAGCTTTGAGTTGCAGCTTTTTGAACTGAACCCGGCCTCGCCTATACTCTGCGCAGTCGTGTATCGTCCGCCAAAGTGCAATAAGGATTTCATAAATGACTTTTCTGACTTTCTGTCCGGGATCATGGTGAAATATGATCGTGTTTTGATCTCCGGAGACTTCAATGTCCATGTGTGTTGCGAGTCCAAACCTCTGGTTAGGGACTTTTTAAATCTCCTTGATTCTTTTGGTCTCGTTCAGTCCGTGGCTGGCCCAACACACGAAAAAGGACACAGTATTGGACTTAGTATTATCGTTTGGACTGTCTGTATCTGTGGATGAAATATGTGCAGCAACGCGTATCTCAGACCATTTACCGGTTCTGTTTACAACCTCCATCCCTTCCGCAGGAGTCGAATCACGTGCCCCTGCGCGTCGTCTGCGTTCGATTAACCCCTTGACTGCCTCACAGTTCTATGATGTTTTTAATGCTTCTCCGATCTGTAAATTAGATGTGAACTGTGCTTTTAATGCTGATGAGCTTATCTCCATGTTTGACTCGACATGTACCCTAATACTGGATTCTGTTGCTCCTTTTACGCTTAGACGCACCAAAGTTCTATCAGAGCCGTGGCTCAATGACTGTACTCGTGCTCTCAGACACGCTTGCAGGCGTGCAGAGAGAAAATGGAAAAAGGATAAACTCCATGTCTCCCTAGAAATCTTTCGTGCTTGCCTTTCTGACTACCAGACGGCAGTCAAAGCAGCCAAAACAGAGCACATTTCTCTGTTAATCTCCAAAAACAGCCATAAACCTCAGGTTATTTTGAATGTCCTCAACTCTATCATTAATCCCTGTGATGTTTCTTCTATTGTCCCATCGACTACTCTCTGTGATAAGTTTCTTACATTTTTTATTGAAAAAGTATCTGCTCTTAGGCTAGCCCACACTAGTGCTACCCCAGATCCTGCTCCTTTTCTGTGCCCTGCTGTCCTCGACCACTTTGAGCCTGTATCCCTCTCTTCTCTCTCGGATGTAGTCAAGCACCTGCGGCCGACAAACTGCACCTCAGACAGCATTCCCTCTCGCTTTCTCAGAGATGTTTTTGATTCAGTTGGAGCAAGTATTTTATTACTTTTAAACACCTCTCTTAGCTCAGGATGTGTCCCAGCTGCCTTCAAACATGCCGTGGTTAAGCCACTACTTAAAAAGAAAAATCTCGACCCCTCCATTATCGCAAATGTTAGGCCCATCTCCCAGCTACCTTTTTTATCTAAAGCCCTGGAGCGAGTAGTCTACGCCCAGCTGCAGTCTTTTTTAACCATGCATGGAATCCATGAAAAGTTTCAGTCTGGCTTCAAACCCATGCACAGCACTGAAACAGCCCTTTTAAGAGTTTTTAATGATCTGCTCCTAGCCGCCGACTCAGGTAGCCCAGCTGTCTTGGTGCTGTTAGACCTGACAGCTGCCTTTGACACTGTGGACCATAGCATCCTGCTGTCACGGCTTGAACAGTCCGCTGGCATCACAGGCTCTGCCCTTGCATGGTTCAGGTCCTACCTGACAGACCGTAGCTTCTCGGTACACTAGGA